TTCTTCAAGTGATTACTCATTTCCTTTCCAACAGGTGACTTCCAAGTAGTGTTTCTGGAGGTGTTGGAGTTACGCTGGATTGCAGAATTGCCCTACAGATGTCCTGAACTGGGACATGTCTGTGGATGGCTTCAGAAGATGTGCTGTCAGCAGCAGAGGCACATTTGCCAAGTCATAACATGTCCATATACAAGATGTGATACATGCTGATATGCTTTGTGAGAAAATGGGGAGACAGCACTCATGCTCTCAGGATTGCGTTGAAAAATTTTATGGAATGCCACAGGGAATGAGTCACTTGCTCCCAGTTGTTCATCTGGGGTTTGGGGAAGGACACAGGGAGGAAAATGTCCTGATCAATGTGAAATTGGGACACCACTTTAGGGAGGAATAGGGAGTGTGGATTCAGCTGGAGCACAACTTGATAAATAACTCTATACTGGGACTCAGACATCAGCACCCTTAGTTTGGAGACCCTTCTAACAGAAGTGATTGCTACCAGGAATACTGTCTTCTAGGAGCGAGGACAAGTGGCCATAGGGTCAAACAGTGGGCCCAGGAGTTTGGCTAAGGCCAAATTGAGGTCCCACTGGGCACTGGTGAATGCCCTTGTGGGTAGAGCCTGTTGAGCCTCTTCAAGAAACAGATTCCCACTGGATTAACAAATACTGATCTACCCCCACCCCTCCAATTCCTGGGTGAAAGGCTTGGGGGACAATAGGTAATCTAGAATGGTGTGTATGGGTGCCTGTTGTGGGACTATTCCCTATTGCAAGGACCAATGGAAAACTGCTTCCGCTTTGCCAAATATGTGTCATGGGTGAAAGGTTTCCTGCTCGCTAGAAGAACGACCCTCATTGGGCCATAGCACCTACTTTCAAAGGGGTTCAACCACGGCATATTTATGCTGCAACTTGGAGGGACCCAAGATTAAGGTTTTGGGAGCCTGCTATGTTGAAGGTTGGAGATAATATTGTCTCTGATATCAGGCCTCTGACATCAGAAGCAGTTTCTCAATCACCTGGATGGAATCAAGCTGAGAATGAACTATCAATCTTGTGTCCTGCTTTTCCAATATATCAGTCATTTTACTGACAAGACTTCCCTTTCCAAGGAATTGGAAGCACAAGTGGTGTTCTTGTCCATCCTGCTGGTTGAAGGAAAAGGTCCGGGTATGGATTGAGGAGAGGGGAGTAAATGTGAGGTTGTGCAGGTGGTGTCTGAGAGAGGGCTTTGGTTTCTTTGACCATGGGACTCTGTTCCAGGCACAAGGATTGTTAGGAAGAGATGGGATCCACCTAACCAAAAGAGGAAAGAGCAGCTGGTGGGAAGAACACCTCAGCAGTCTAGCACCCTGGCATTTAATTTAAAAAAGGGGAATTACACAAAAATGAGGAGGCTAGTTAAACAGAAATTAAAAGGCACAGTGACTAGAGCCAAATCCCTGCAAGCTGCATGGAAACTTTTTAAAGACACCATAACAGAAGCCCAACTTAAATGTATACCCCAAATTAAAAAACATAGCAAGAGACCTAAAAAAAGAGTCACCATGGCTTAACCACCATGTAATAGAAGAAGTGAGGGACAAAAAGGTATTTTTTAAGAAGTGGAAGTCTAAATCTAGTGAGATAAATAGAAAAGAACATAAACACTGTCAAATCAAGTGTAAAAATGTAATAAGAAAAGCAAAAAAAGATTTTGAGGAACAGCTAGCCAAAAACACAAAAAGAAATAAAACGTTTAAGTACATTAGAATCAGGAAGCCTGCTAAAAAACCTGTGGGTCCCCTAGATGATCGAGCTATAAAAGGAGCAATCAAGGACGATAAAGCCATTGCGGAGAAACTAAATGATTTCTTTGCTTCAGTCTTCATGGCTGAGGACGTTGGGGAGATTCCCAAATCTGCACCGTCCTTTGTGGGTGATGAATCTGAGGAACTGTCCCGGATTGAAGTGTCATTAGAGGAGGTTTTGGAACAAAAAGAAAAACTTAATGTTAACAAATCTCCGGGACCGAATGGCATTCATCCAAGGGTTCTAAAAGAACTCAAATGGGAAATTGCTGAGCTATTATCTGTGGTTTGTAACCTATCCTTTAAATCGGCTTCCGTACCTAATGACTGGAAGGTAGCCAACGTGACACCAATATTTAAAAGGGGCTCTAGAGGCGATCCTGGCAATTACAGACCGGTAAGTCTAACTTCAGTACCGGGCAAATTAGTCGAAACAATAGTAAAGAATAAAATTGTGAAGCATGTAGAAGAACATAATTTGTTGGACAAAAGTCAACATGGTTTCTGTAAAGGGAAATCCTGTCTTACTAATCTATTAGAGTTCTTTGAAGGGGTTAACAAACATGCGGACAAGGGGGATCCAGTAGATATAGTATACTTGGATTTTCAGAAAGCCTTTGACAAGGTCCCTCACCAAAGGCTCTTGTGTAAATTACATGGCCATGGGATAAGAGGGAAGGTCCTTTCTTGGATTGAGAACTGGTTAAAAGACAGGAAACAAAGGGTAGGAATAAATGGTAAATTTTCAGATTGGAGAGGGGTAACTAGTGGTGTCCCCCAAGGGTCAGTCCTGGGACCAATCCTTTTCAACTTATTCATAAATGATCTGGAGAAAGGGGTAAGCAGTGAGGTAGTAAAGTTTGCAGATGATACCAAACTGTTTAGGATAGTCAAGACAGAAGCAGACTGTGAGGGACTCCAAGAAGATCTCACCAAACTGAGTGATTGGGCAACAAAATGGCAAATGAAATTTAATGTGGATAAGTGTAAAGTAATGCACATCGGGAAAAATAACCCCAACTATACGTACAGTATGATGGGGGCTAATTTGGCTACGACAAATCAGGAAAGAGATCTTGGACTTATCGTGGACAGTTCTCTGAAAACTTCCACGCAGCGTGCAGTGGCGGTCAAAAAGGCAAATAGGATTCTAGGAATTATTAAGAAAGGGACAGAAAATAAGACCCAGAATATCTTACTGCCCCTGTATAAAACTATGGTACGCCCACATCCTGAATACTGTGTACAGTTGTGGTCTCCTCACCTCAAAAAAGATATTTTGGCCTTGGAAATGGTTCAGAAAAGGGTCCCATATGAGGAGAGGTTAAAGCGACTGAGACTTTTCAGTTTAGAAAAGAGGAGATTGAGAGGGGATATGATAGAGGGATATAAAATCATGAGTGGAGAGGGCCGATAAAGAAAAGTTATTTATTAGTTCCCATAATAGAAGAACTAGAGGACATCAAATGAAATTAATGGGTAGCAGGTTTAAAACTAATAAAAGAAAGTTCTTCACACAGCGTGTAGTCAACCTGTGGAACTCCTTGCCAGAGGAGGCTGTGAAGGCTAGGACTATAACAGAGTTTCAAGAGAAGCTAGATAATTTCATGGAGGTTAGGTCCATAAAAGGCTATTTCGAACTACCGTTACTCCTCATGGAACGAGGTGTACCGGTAGTTCGAATTAGAAAGCCTAATTCGAACTACCTACTCCGTGCCATGTGTAGCCGCGGGCATGGAGTCTGAACTACTGGGGATTTAAAAATGGCGGCGCCTGGCAAGATGCAAATGAAGCCCAGGATATTTAAATCCCGGGCTTCATTTGCAACTTTGATTGACTACATTAATCACCCTAGTTCGAACTAGGATGGTAGTGTAGACATACCCAGAGTTAGCATGGATTAGGCTAACCAAAAGGTCAAAATGGCTACATACAAATACGCTGGCTTCCACACTGTTCAGGAAGAACAGGCAGGGGAGTTGCATTGTATGTAAGAGAGCAGTATGATTGCTCAGAGTTCCAGTATTTAGAGGGAGAAAAGACTGTGAGAGTCTATGGGTTAAGTTTAGAGGGGGAAGCAACAGGGGTGATGTTGTGGTTGAGGTCTACTATAGACCACCAGATCAGGTGGATGAGGTAGACAAGGCTTTCTTTGGACAATTGAGAGACGCTTTGAGATCGCAGGCCCTGGTTCTCATGGGGGACTTTAATCACCCTGATATCTGTTGGGAGACCAATACAGCAGTACACAGACAATCCAGGAAGTTTTTGGAAAACGTTTGGGATAACTACTTGGCACAAGTACTGAAGGAACCGACCAGGGGCCATGTGCAGCTTGACCTGCTGCACACAAACAGGGAGGCACTAGTAGGGGAAATAGAGGTGGGTGACAACCTGGGAAGCAGTGATTATGAGATGGTAGATTTCAGGATCCTAAGCAAAGGAAGAAAGAAGAGTAGCAAAATACACACCCTGGACTTCAGAAGAGCAGCCTTTGACTCACTGAGAGAACGGATGGGAGATAAAAGATGAAAGATGCGGAGAAACTGGAGAGGGTCCCGAGAAGAGCAACAAGAATGATTAAAGGTCTATAGAACATGACCTATGAAGGAAGGCTGAAAAAATTGGGTTTGTTTAGTTTAGAAAAGAGAAGATTGAGGGGGGACATGAGAGCCATTTTCAGGTATCTAAGAGGGTGTCATATGGAGGAGGGAGAAAACTTGTTCATCTTGGCCTCTGAGGTTAGAACAAGAAGCAATGGGCTTAAACTGCAGCAAGGGAGGTTTAGGTTGGACATTAGGAAAAAGTTCCTGTCAGGGGAGTCAGACACTGGAATAAATTGCCCAGGGAGGTTGTGGAATCTCCATCTTTGGAGATATTTAAGAGCAGGTTAGATAAATGTCTATCAGGGATGGTCTAGACAGAATTTGGTCCTGCCATGGGGGCAGAGGACTGGACTCGAAGACCTCTCGAGGTCCATTCCAGTCCTAGTATTCTATGATTCTATGAGGAGGTGGGTAGTGGCATCTCCATGGGATACTAGTCAATATGGGGAAACAGAGGGAGTTCCCATCACACCAGAAATAAAGAGTACTGAGCAGCCACTGTCTTGTGTGGCTCCCACAGTAAGTCATGCTCATGGCCTGCCAGCTCTGGAGACTAATAGGTCAGTTACTATAGGGATATTCACACTAAAACAGTACTCAGCTTCATTTTGAAAAATAATCTTTATTGTACACAGGAGCATGTGTCCCAGGAAGAAGTAGGTGAGGGGTTCAGTCACTAGATTTCATAGAATCAAGTGGGAATCCCACAGGGTATGCTCTCTATAAATAATCATGGGGAGCACAGGTATATGGCTTCAGTGTTCTGGACCTAGCCAGAAGCCCAGTTGCTTTAGGGAGAGCAAAGGAATCAGTCCCCATCTCTCCATAGTGCTCAGTTCAGCAGCCCTGGAGAAGTAGCTTTCCTCCATTAAACTGTGGGGGAATTAGGCACATCCTAAATCCAGGAAAGGAGAGGCACATCTTACAGAGTAGATGGCAGCACTAACTGAAGCCTTAACTGATGGATTGCACCCTCTCTCAACTGGAGCAGTCACTGCTGTCTTCAGAATCCCCATCTCCAGGGATATCGGTAGCTCATCTGCATGGAGCATGATCTGGGGCACCAGAAGAGCTCTGAACTCTGCCATCTACACAATCAATGGGCACAGGTCTAACTGCACTTAGAGTATGTGACACAGGGTACATGCAGCCACCCCAGCAACACCAGTCACAGGCTTCTCCAGAAAGAAGTCTCATGAAGTAGGGTGGGGCAGAGGCCTTGGAGTCTTCCCCTCAAGACAGGGAAGGGTTTGTCAGTTGGTTTTTGGAGAGCCCAAACCCCTTTGAGTTATACCCTGTAGCACAAACTGGCCTGGCTTTTTCTTTTGAAAAGGGTACAGTGAACCAGGGTGCAGGAGCAGGACTCTTGGTCCAGGGTGCAGGAGCAGGGCTCTTGGTCCAGGGTGCAGGAGCAGGACTCTTGTCTTCTCCACTCCCGTCTTCAGCAAGAGCTGCACAAGCTTTATAATTAGTGCAATGATTAAATTAGAGATAAAAGGTCAGGTCCCGTATTCCCGTTTCATAATTAAATTACCATCCTTCTCCGGCAGGGGGCATTATAGCAAATACCTGCAAAAACCCTTCGCTAGAGTGCTCAGCATGTCTGCAGGGAACTATACTGAGCTGAAATCCAAAAATTAGCCACATTGAAAAAGTTATAAAGCAGACTCTGATTGGTTTTATGTCATATCCCGTAAAAACTCCACAGCATCCCTTTCTTGTTTTTAATCATCAGAAGGGCCCAAGTGGCAGGTTTAAGAGCTGAGGGGGTGGGGAAAGCTTTCCTTCTGTGCTCATGGACTGGTGCAATCTCTGTAATATGATGGTGCTATCTGTGAAAGGGAAGGATGGGCAGTGGGAAGGGTGAGCCACATCCTGCAAATCCAGTGGCATATGGACTAATGAGGGGCAGGTGGCCAATGCCCTTTTATAGGCTGGTATAGCCATTGACAATAGCATGAGTGTAAAGATGACAAAGTGCAGTGGCACCAGCCAACGTGTTGTCATGTATCTGCATTTCCCAGAACCTTCAGCATTTTCTCTGCAACCCTCATAACAGATGATTAACAGCTGGAGTGCAGCAGGTAGAAGCTGAAGATTACATCACTGCCCTCACTTATTCCCAGACTGAGGAGCCTGGTTCAGAAAAGGTGCACTTCAGGATGACCTGACAACACTGTGTGTGGGGGCAAGGCAGGGAAGGGAGAGGAGGCTGTCTTCTGGAAACAGACCCTGAGCTTCAGCAACAGCATCTTCCCAGTTGGGCCAGAGTGAGCAGCTTGGAGGTGAGCACTGGAGACAGCTAGGCTCAGCTGCCCCATGAAGTTAGCTAGGTGAGAGGGGCAGCTGGTGTAGGGCCCTGGTGACAATTTGCCACTCGCCTCAGCCAGATCTTTGGGCTGAGGATAAAGGGCTGTCACTCAGGAACAGACTGTTGGCCCCGCTCAGAGGTGGCCTGTAAAGCACAGGAAGAGCAGGATGTGAAGCACGAGCAGATACACAGTCACCAGCAGTGGTAGGCGTGTTCGGGAACAGAAGAGCCAACGCAGCAGCCGCCGCAAACCAGAGTTGCTCCGAGTCTGAGGAAAGAGCAGAGGAGAATCCAGTTAGGGCCAATAAGGGCTGACCAGAACCACCTGAATCCAAAGCCCCACAAGGCATGGGAGACCAGCCCAACAAAGTACAGACAGAGCTCATCCAGGACAATGAACTGGTCTAACCAGTGGTCACAGGTTTCCACTCATTTGATTCCAGCTCCAGGTCCCCACTGGCTATGGATCGCCAGGGTCATTTCCCCATTAAACTACAGGGCTGCCCCCTGCACCACTGACACAGAATTCTGAAGGGCTCCTATCCCATTTAATCTACTTCCTCTCCCATTTCAAAAGCCCTGCTCTAATTCCACCATTTCATGAGGTAGGAAGAATACTGCAATGAAGATCCTGAAGGGGAAACCGCAAAGCAAGAGTGAAACACTATCCCACGTATTTCTCTTCTGCTCACTGACCTACCCCCTTCAGGCTGTGATGAGGTTTCAGAAACAACTCCCTCCACAAACCTGCAGCCTGGTCAAAGAAGGGCTGAGCAGCAGGGAGTAACACACACTTCCTAAGATCTGTGCCTATGGGCAAGTCTACACTACAAAATTAGGTTGATCTAAGTTATGTCAATGTACAGCCACTGCACGAATTGAATCCATTTCATATATCTACACTACATTCCTTGTGTCAGTGGTGTGTGTCCTCATGCCAGCTTGGTGCACTCCCACACCAAGTGGGACAGTTTCTGAAAAGTTATAACTATCAATATAATGCAGAGTCTGCAATCACACAGCATAGACTTAACTACATCAGCTTAAAGCATTACTTGTCTCACAGAGGTAGAGCTAAGTCAGAGTAGTGGGCAAGTACATCGGTGGGAGCTATATTAATGCTTACAGAGTTAAGTCAATATAAAGTGCAGTAGCTATGCTAGTTCCTGCTAAATGGGTGATTGTGAGCACTGGCACTCAGACACCAGTGCTTTTATAGCAGCAACCTCACCAGGCATCTTAGGTTCCCTGATTCATATTAGCGAGGCTTTAGAGCAGGGCTACTCAAACTTGGGAAGCCCCAGGGGCCACAATGATTCACAGCACATGCTGAGGGACACAGCTTAACTGTGGTTGCATATACATGCAAAAATATACACAAATAGCTCTTTCATACTGATGGGAATGAATACGATTAAGGCAGGCCCCATTTAAGTAATTTCTGCTGATATTGATAAAATGCAATATTTATGCTGTCATATGGTTGGAAATTGGACTTTTAATGAGCAATGTGTGGAATAAAATATATTAAAACAAGACACCTGTGACTAATTGCTGTGAGGTATCCTTACTGACTACAAAGGTGCTGTACAAAGGTAGGGAATTAGCCTTCTTTCACTGGAGGAAAGTAGAAGCCCCAAAACAAATTAACACCTGGCTTCAGGGTCTGTAGACATCTGCATATTTCAAAGAGCTTGCAAATAAGTCCTGTAGCACCTTAGTACTATTCACTTTTCAGCTACAGACTCAAACAGCTACCCCTCTGAAACTGTTAATGGTGCAAGAAAGAAAAGATTCTTTGAACACATATATGCCAACTTTGTTTGAAATGTAATCGTGCAAATGTCCTCCTAGCACAAACACACACACCCCAAGCTTCCCTCCACACCTTCAAACCAACCTAACAGAGAGGACTGCAGTGAGTCAGACACCCCAAAAACTGCCCCGACTCCCACCTCACTGCACGGATGCCAGCACTTCACTCCCTCTTTCCCCCACCTACCCCATGCAGTCAGCCCTTTTATCTCCCCCTGCCCAGCCCAGGAGGATTGAAGAGACTGATGGGTCTCTCCCCTCTGCAGAGGAGAGAGAGGCACTTTCCCACAATCCAATTAATTACTCCCTGCCTCCCTCCTCCCAGACACGCATAGGGTTGCCAGGTGTTCGGTTTTGAACTGGACAGTCCAGTATTTGAGCTCTCTGTTTGGGAAACAAATTGAGAAAATATAAATGTCCAGTATTTTCTAAATAAGATGCAATGTCGATAGTGATGTAATTTCAAGTGTGTCCAGTATTTTTGCTGAAATCATCTGGCAACCCTAACACTCATTCCCTGCTTATTTGCTGATTGTCTTCCATGCAGCAGGCAGCATTTAGCTGCTGTTTACAGAGGCCTGTCCCTGCGGATCAGATTATCCCTCTGCCTGCTCGGGGAACTCTAAACTGCTGAGACTGCGCAGCTTAAAGGGAACTTTAGTGCAAAGCCCCAAGCCCTCCTGCATGTGCAGGGTCTTCAATCCCAGCACTGCCTCCTCTTACCACTGTGGGCCGGCACCGCCCAACCTGCTACTGGGGAAGTGGGGAAGCGCCTGCCACTCGCACCAGGACAATCTGCCCGGCCCGGCCCGGCCGATCCCGGCTCAGCCCAACATGCTGCCTGCCCTGTGGGACCAACCTAGGGAGTGCCGCTCTTACCGTGGCGGTGGCACTCCTCCACGTGTAGCTCGCGGGGGAGAGGAAAGGGAGTTTACTTCACCTCCCCACCTGCTGGCTGGAGCTGCTTTTTCAGCCTTACGGCTGTGGCCAACTGCCAGGCTGCAGCATCAGCAGCATGGAGGAGGGAGGGTGAGCTCCTGCTGCAGACCCTGCACTTTGAGACCCACTGCCCAAACTGGGCCGAAGGCCGCAAACAAAGGGGCCATGGGCCGCATGCAGCCCACGGACCACGTGTTGAGTAGCCCTACTTTAGAGTCAGCATGGAACAGAGTCTGACTAATAACATGTGAGGAGGGCTTTAAACTAGGTTTGTCGGGGGCAAGTGAGCAAAGCCCACAGGTAAGTGCTGCATGTGCGGGACTGGGAGATGGGTTGGAAATGGGGGGGACTACAGCCTATAACGGCAAGGAGAAAGGAGGGTCAGGGCACAACAGGGAGGCAAGATCAAATCAGTATCTTAGATGCCTATATACAAATGCGAGAAATATGGGTAATAAGCAGGAAGAACTGGAATTCCTAACAAATAAATACAACTATGACATCATTGGTATTACAGAAACCTGGTGGGATGGGACGCACGATTGGAATGTTGGTATGGAAGGGTACGGCTTCCTCAGGAAGGACAGACAGGGAAAAAAGGGAGGAGGGGTTGCCTTGTATATTAAAAATGTACACACTTGGACTGAAGTGGAGATGAACGTAGGAGATAGCTGTGTAGAGAGTCTCTGGGTTAAGCTAAAAGGGGTAAAAAACGAGGGTGATATCATGCTAGGAGTCTACTACAGGCCACCTAGCCAGGTGGAAGAGGTGGATGAGGCCTTTTTTAAACAATTAACAAAACTATCCAAAGCCCAAGATTTGGTGGTGATGGGGGACTTCAACTATCCAGACATATGTTGGGAAACTAACACAGCGAGGCACAGGCTATCCAATAAGTTTCTGGACTGCATTGGAGACAACTTTCTGTTTCAGAAGGTTGAAAAAGCTACCAGAGGAGAAGCTGTTCTGGATTTGGTTTTAACAAATAGGGAGGAACTAGTTGAGAACTTGAAAGTGGAAGACAGTATAGGGGACAGTGATCATGAAATAATAGAGTTCATGATCTTAAGGAAAGGTAGAAGGGAGACCAGCACAATTGAGGTTATGGATTTCAGGAAGGCAGATTTTGATAAGCTCAGAGAACTTGTAGGTAAGGTCCCATGGGAAGCAAGACTGAAGGGAAAAACAACTGAGGAGAGTTGGAAGTATTTCAAAGGGACGTTGTTAAGGGCCCAAAAGCAAACAATTCCGCTGTGTAGGAAAGATAGAAAATATGGCAAAAGACCAGCTTGGCTTAACAAGGAGATCTTGCATGATCTCAAAATAAAAAAGGAGTCATATAAAAAATGGAAACTAGGACAACTAACAAAGGATGAATATAGGCAAGCAACACGGGAATGCAGGGGCAAGATTAGAAAGGCAAAGGCACAAAATGAGATCAAACTAGCTACAGGCATAAAGGGAAACAAGAAGACCTTTTATAAATACATTAAAAGCAAGAGGAAGACCAAGGACAGGGTAGGCCCACTGCTTAGTGAGGAGGGAGAAGCAGTAACAGGGAACTTGGAAATGGCGGAGATGCTCAATGACTTCTTTGTTTCGGTCTTCACCGAGAAGTCTGGAGGTGTGCCTAACGTAGTGAATACAAGCAGAGAGAGGGTAAGTTTAGAAGATAGGATACACAAAGAACAAGTTAAAAATCACTTAGGAAAGTTAGATGTCAGCAAGTCACCAGGTCCTGATGAAATGCATCCCAGGATACTCAAGGAGCTGATAGAGGAGGTATCTGAGCCTTTAGCTATGATCTTTGAAAAATCATGGCAGACAGGGGAGATTCCAGAAGACTGGAAAAGGGCAAATATTGTGCCCATCTATAAAAAGGGGAATAAGAACAACCCAGGAAATTATAGACCGGTCAGTTTAACGTCTGTCCCAGGGAAGATAATGGAGCAGGTAATTAAGGAAATCATATGCAAACACTTGGAAGGTAATAAAGTGATAGGGAATAGCCAGCATGGGTTTGTGAAGAACAAGTCATGCCAAACTAATCTGATAGCTTTCTTTGATAAGATAACGAGCCTTGTGGATAAGGGAGAAGCGGTGGATGTCATATACCTAGACTTTAGTAAGGCATTTGATACGGTCTCGCATGATATTCTTATTGATAAACTAGGCAAATATAACTTAGATAGGGCCACGATAAGGTGGGTGCATAATTGGCTGGATAACCGTAGTCAGAGAGTTGTTGTTAACGGTTCTAAATCCTGCTGGAAAGGGATAACAAGTGGAGTTCCTCAAGGGTCTGTTTTGGGACCCGTACTGTTCAATATCTTCATCAATGATGTAGATATTGGGATAGAGAGTACTCTTATTAAGTTTGCAGATGATACCAAACTGGGTGGGGTTGCAACTTCTTTGGAGGATAGGGACATAATTCAAAATGACCTTAGCAAGTTAGAGAAATGGTCGGAGGTAAACAGGATGAGGTTTAATAAGGAGAAATGCAGAGTGCTC